CATCCCCTACACACTCCACTCCCTGTGAGCGAACTCGTGGGTGGGTGGAACTTATGAGTGGGCCTTATGGGCATACTCACCGTCAGGCCCTGGGGCCCAGACCTTGAGCTGTGTAAGGGGCCCCAAAAAATGGAGCTGCTTCCAATTCTCCCAGAACATTGAATTTTGTGACCACAGCTGCAAACAGCCTCCAGAGATCCTGTTCTACGCCAGACCAGTGGAGCCAAACTGCAGCCCATCATCATCCTCATCTGCTTGTAAGTAGGCAATCTAGTATATTATTAGTGACACTAATCTATAATTTACCTCACATTAAAGGGACACTATAGCTTAATGAAGTGGTTCTGGTGTCTATAGCTGGTCCCTGCAGGCTTTTTAATGTAAACACACACTGTGTGCAGCACTGGCGTTAGTTCATATGGCAGATCATATGGGTGGGGCATTGTGATGTGACATGTGGGGGCAGCAAATTTTTATTTTGTCTAGGGCGGCAAAAATCCTTGCAGGGAGGGAGCTGCGTGAGCTGCGCTGGCTCTGCTCCCCAGCACGCAGCTGAATGAGACTGGCGCCGGAATATGACATCATATTCCGGCGCCAGTCTCATTCAGCAGCGCGCGAGGGCGGGAGGGCACTAACACAGGAAACACCTCTAGTGACCGTCTCAGTGACTGTCACTAGCAGTGTCACTTTGAAGCAATGTAAACACTGCCTTTTGTCTGAAAAGTCAGTGTTTACGTTGAAAAGCCTGTAGGGACATGCTATAGACACCAGTACCACCACATTAAGCTGTGTGTGTGCATCTGCTAGTGAGTGAGCTTGCTTGCATGCGTGTGCCTGCAAGTGAGTGGGCTTGTGTTTTTATGTCAATGAGCTGATGTATATCAGTAAGATTGTTTGTCTATGAGGCTGTGTATCAATGAGCTTGTGTGTGTCACTGAAATGTCAGTGAAATTGCCTGTGTCTGCATGTGCGTATGCTTACTGTATAATTAAACGTTTTACCCTGAAAGGACCAATATTTTATATTAGAAAAAGCAATATATATATATATATATATATATATATATATATATATATATACTCAATCATCTGTCCTGGCAAGACATAGCCTTACATATTACACGCAACAATATATGGCGGAGTGACTTATGGGGCTGGCACAAATTTTTTTTCCAGGGCTGCTTTGTATCCCCAGTCCGGCCCTGGTCTCAGCCCTCAATAGCACTGAGTGAGAGGCTTTTAATTCACAGCCTGGCTGCAGTCAGACAGAGAAACTACAAACAGGTAGTGATATCCTTACTATATGGCTTGCTGGGTGTCCTCTCCTCCTGATGCAAGTTGTATCATTGTTCAATCATTCAGTACTTTCAGTGGCTTAGCAGTGTCCATACCTTTGATAAGGAAGTCTTTTTCTAGAGTGAGGCTAAAGAGGAACACTTATGGTATATCATTTTGCAAAACATTTATTTTATACAAAAACTATAAAAATTTTGCATGCGAAAAATACAGCATGTTAGTGAGGCCAAAAATCAAATACATTAAAGTATGATTGGTGCCCGGAGTGTCCCATTAGGGATTCTATAGTGTAAGGAATACAAAGTTGACGCAGAGCGGTGTTTTGCAGTGCATGCGCAATAGCCTCTCAATACTTTCCTATTTGGGGAGTTGTAGAATGAGTGTAAAACTCAAGGAGGTATTCAAGGAGTAGAGTAGTAGACTGCACACAGTCCTGCAGACTTCACATTGCAGGAGTGCTCACAGTGTGTGAAAATGTAAAGGAGATCGTGACAAACTGCCCTTTTCCACTGGCTTTTGGAGAAGCCTGATTGCCAGCCTCCTGCCTTATGACTATGGCCCTGGGGTGTATTGCCCTTTAAGAACATTATTGGTGCATATTGAGACTTGGCACAATGCCCCTTTTAAACTGTCGAAGTGGAACTTCGAACTACCGAACAGCCGGACCCAATACAAGTGGAGTGTGCAGCCAATTTACCTCCCAGAAGCTGTGGTTAACCGCAAGATAATTGACGAACGGCTGGGTGGTCACCGTTCATATAGTCGAACACGTGGCAGCAGCCATCTTGTTTAGTCGAACGCGGTCAGCTGTGTTTTGCCGTCGAATTCATGGAACTCAAATTGGACACTCGACGGCAAGAACACCGCTGAACTTTACCTTCTCTTCAACATTCGACGGAAATCGAAGTGCGTTTGAATATTCGAATGCCACATTAACATGGGATATTTGCACAGCACTCGTTCGTGCATTTGAGAGGAAATTAGCATTTTAACTATGTGAAATAGACCGACCGCACAGCCCAATTCTATGGAACTCTTTTGGGCATGAAAGCCATGCTTGCGGTCGGTCAAATATGACTTCCATAGAATTCATTAA